ATCAGCTTCTTTTGGGGTCCATAGGTGATATTAGGGGTCCTAGAGACCCCTAATATCTCCATAAAGAGGACCTGTCAGTGTGCCTTTGCTATTATATAGGGGGTTACCCCCCTATATAAAAGAAATAAAAAAAAGTGAAAAAAAAAAAAAAATATAAATAAAAAAAAAGAAAAGTAACACATAAAAAAATAAAATAAAATAAAAGCCACATATAAAAAAAGGGGAAAAAACCCCCCCAAAATGTTTAACTCCCCCACCCCCACGTTTACGCGCCTATAAACGTAAATACGCGTCCGGTGCCCCAGCGCGCAAAAATTACAATTGCGCTACACATGTTACATATCGCCGCGAACGTCGCAGTGAGAGCAATCATTTTCGGGCCATCAATCACTGATAACACTAAACTGATGAGCGGTAACAGCTTTTAAAGCGTCGCCTATGGCCAATGTTGGGTATTATCGTTTTTTGAGGTTTCGCGCGCGCACGCAATTTTAAGGCTTGACATGTTTAGTGTCTTTTTACCCGACGTGACCCCATCTTTTATATTTTACCAAAAAATTGGGTAATAATAAATGTTTTATCATTTAATATAGGGGAAACTGTTTTTTTTTTTAAATTTCGGTAATTTTTCCTTAATATAGTAAAAAAATAAAACCCCCAGTGGTGAATAAATACCACCAAAAGAAAGCTCTATCTGTCCCCAAAAAAGGGTATAAAATTAATTTCAGTACAGCGCTGCATGACGGAATAAATGTCAGTTAAAGTACCGCAGCGCTGAATACTGAAAAATAGCCGCCACAGGAAGGGGGTTTAACACCGCGGATGTCAACTGGTTAATTACCCGCAATCCTCCTTTTGTATTCCGTTCCCTTCACCTCCTGCACACCAGCTGAAACTTCCTCCTGCCTTCGAATGAACTTGCTGCCCGGAGATGATCATTTATAAATGTGATTTCATTGTATACGCGCAGCATCTGTGCCGTGTGTCATGTGACTTGTATGTTGTCTTTCAGCGCCAAGGTCTGCGAGGAGAAGCTGCGCTACGCCGCGTACAATTGTGTGGCGATCGATACGGATATGAGTCCATGGGAGGAGTGAGGGGGCGGGGCCGGGCGTGTCATCCTCGTCCTGATTTCCGGGGTCCTTATTTATCTGCATCTTGTATACAATGTAACAACTGCATGAAATGAAGAGAACCTGTCATCCCGCCTCCCCTCCCCCGGAGCGCTGTGTGCGTCTCATATACATGACGGCGTGTTTTGAATGATGACATCATCGGGCTGCTGATTGGCCGATCCCTCTCCATTCCTTTCCCTCATTGGTGGGATTTTTTCTGGGTGGCGCAGAGGAAGTCTTGTCCTTGACGCGGGGAATACGTCGTATACAGATTGCGTCTTCACGCGTTTTATTATACATACATGTCACGTGACACTCCAACCATGGACAACGGCCCGGACGCACCCAGAAGCAGCTGTACTGGAGGACGTGACCTGCGGGGGGGGGGAGGAGTCATCGGGGACTCGGCACTGCGGGAGATGAGAAACCCCAATACATGTAAAATGATCCAAAATAAACAAATTCACAAATAAAGAAACACGTCCGACAGCCAATGAGAGCGCGAGAAAGTATAATATGTATATGACTGGTGAGGTCAGATAGGAGACTGAAGGCGAGGACGGAGGTCAGAT